TACATTCAAATATTCTTGTCTCCTTTAAATAAGTCATACTCCATGCCCGACTTCTTTTTGTTCATTCATATCCATCACATTAAATATCACCCCTTTACCTTCCCCCCATCACACATCCACAAATACTTGGGGTTTGCTGGTTTGCTTTCTTTATAAACAATGTTATGTCTACTATCCTACCTTTCTCTTCACAAATATCAATCAGTCTCTCCACTTCCATTCATTCCTTGTACAGTACAGGTACTTACTTTCCCAATATTCAATCATCCATTCACAGTTATACTTACAATCAATTTATCTCTGGGGGAGGAGCCTTCCAATGGAATAATTAAGATCTTCCCAAATAATTTTTTCCTCCTCTCTTCTTTCAATCTGAGATAGATGCATTACTAATAGCACATGAAATACATGCCACTTTTAGTATGACTTGTACTTTGAAGGCATTACCAATGCGTCCACGACAACTCTCATTATGGAACTAAAAACTATAAGCTATCATAAAATACCACACTCCATTATTCATTCACACCTCTTGTTCTCATCCTTTCAGTGGTTCCCAAATTCACCCGCTCCCTGTATGTTTCTCCTTTGTCCTTCAACACCATTCCACTGAATGCAATTTTTAGAGATCCACTCTTCCTCGTATGTTCTCCATTTTTTCTTCTCTATACATTTATATCCACAGTCTCCAAGCCTTACTGCAGGAATTCACGGTGGCTTAAGTCAATAAACTTTCAACAACTAGTATGTAACAGTCACCAATTTTTTAATCAACTAATTTTCCATTAGTTTATTATCCACTAAAATTGAATGGTAGCAAAATATTAAAAAGATCTGGTTTGACCTGATGGAGATGAATAATTTTGGAGGACAACCATGTCAAATTAAAAATTAAAAATTGTTTACCACTTTCAAGTAAGAGATCACTGCTAGCTTTTAGCCCCAACCACATGGTACAATCATTCATCAGCAGCCATTTGTTAAACAAATCATTAAATTCTGCAGATCTGCTACATCACTTAAAGAGCCATATAGACAGTACAGTAGATACCAGGCATATGCAGTTAAGTGTTACAAAATATGGATAAATGGAGTAAATGCAAACATTACCCATTCATATGACAATTGAAGGCCACCCTCTTCTTGGTGAGGCTGACACCCAAACCTTTGTCACTGCAATCTATCCACTATCAAAAGGAAAACTTTAACTTCCCTAGTATTGGTAGAATACAGTACTGTTAATAAATTAACTTAAAACTGAAAGCTTTTTTTTTTATAGGGACATCTGACTTCAGTAACCTAATTCAGCATCTAACTTTAATATTACACAATTTGTAGTGGGTTTATTATATCCAAAAGGGGAAGGATGGAGTCAAGTTGTACAGTAGATTCCAGATTAGAATTATAATGAAATGGGAGAAATAAAATCCCCCTCGATGATAACCAATAAATAAAATTTCTCATTTAATGGGCATTGACAAGCTTTCACATTTTGGGCAAGTGCAGTAGCAATCAGATACTATTCATATGTTCTAAAAATTACCACAAATAACTATGCAAATTGAGGATCCTTAAAATCATATTTTTGTGGATGTCAGCCAAGTCCAAAGACACTACAGATTAATATTATCAATACTGTACTGTAATACCCTGAACCCAATGTAACATGCACCCATACTGTGAGAATAGCACATTACAGTACCACCCCATTCCAGTCTAACCCAAGATCCACCAAAGGTAAAACAGTGTACCAGGCACTTCCCAGATCTTTGTTTTGTCAAACCACCAACTAGTTTCCTAAAAATAACCCCCAATTTTTTTCTAGGCAACCTTGCATTATGCAGGAACTAATCAGATCAGAATAGCATGCCTACCTAAACACACAATAATAATAATAATAGTTTCTGGAAGTTTTTAACTATATATATATATATATATATATATATATATATATATATATATATATATATATATATATATATATATATATATATATATATATATATATATATATATATATATATATATATATATATATAAACCTGAAATAAATAAATTAGTAGACAAAAAATACATACACATGCAATACAGTATCAGCTACTACTGTAAAATTGTTTTCAGTACGTAATTTCATTTCTAATCTGAAATCAATGTATTAACCAAAATCTAAATATGCATTAAAAAATTAAATATTAATTAAATCAAAATACACATTGACAAACTGTACTGCTACAGGTTATTCCACAAATAATCTTTTAGGATGAAGTTATACAGGAAACCCATGAGGGATTCTATCAATATCAGGTTTCGTGGTGCTGCTTGAAGTAAAATATTGGATACGAGATTTAATGTCCTATGATAAGCATTACATAATGAAATCAAAGACCAAAGCCAGTGAGTGGTTTGTGCAGCCTAAACAGCTTCGACAGTGGAGTCATCCTTCGATGTTCATACGTCCTGTCAAGAGAAGTTCTTACAACAATCATCTCGGCAATTTGGGGTATTTTTTAATTATCTGTTCCACTTTATTCCGGACGTGAAAAACGATCAATCTTTAGACCTGTATGGAAGTAAATCTAGATTCAAAAGTATAATTTTAGTAGGTTATCATTTTTCATACCTGTATGGAAATAAATCTAGATTCATAAATGTCATTTAAGTAGTACGGTATATCAAAAATTTATTTTATCCTCCAATTGTATTAGGTTGGTTGTTCATGACATGAAAATGATACTAAGATAAAGCAGAACGTTCACAGACTTCTCATGCATAAAGCTACAACTAAATGCTACAACTTCCTGGCATAACTGAATCCCTCTTTTCATTATGACAGTTTGACTGGGGTTCACTATATCATATATTCTATGTCTTCAGTACTAGTTCATATATGTAAGATCATTAAACATTAAACTTACATTTCAGTGGCACTTTTAAGCTTTCATACAAGCAAAATACTGATCTTATGATTTTTGTCTGTAAATTTTTGTTATGGTCAGCATAAGGTGTCCTTATATATGCTAACCTCAATCAAGTATTATACTTATTGGCCTCTGTGGAGACTGATTTCTCTGGTACGAAATTCAACTGTTACTTGTATACTGAATGAATTCATTTCATCACCAGTTTCAATCTCAGTTCTTTATGTATATACTGTATATATTATATATGTTCAGTAACCAGGATGCCCACTTTGGTGACTTTTTTTGTGCAAAACTATTAAAGGAGTCGATTGCAGAACTTGGGATGATTTCATCAGTGGCTCAAGTGCTGCTTATTGACTTTCATTAATTTTTTACCTCTATTTATGAGTTACTCAGATGTCCATGCCAAGAAGTATGAGTGAAATTTTGTGATGTATCCATTAATGAAAAAGGCTGTAGAGAATAAACTAATATACCACACATTAAAACATTTTAGCATGCTCTGGTTAAGGCGCACCTACATGGGGAAAATTAAAATTATATGTTTAAGTATATTTTACATGTGAACAAACAGCTTCTAATTAAAACATCAATTAATCTACAAAAATTGCAGGGAACCGCTGTCTCATTTTATATATATATAGATATATATATAAAGCACTCAAAAACACTCGCAGCCTTATAAGGCAGGCAAGATTGCCAGCAAGAGGGAATGTATTAACTGATCAGTTGTGTCACTGACATCATTAAAAACTTTGTCTTGTCACACAGCCATTATTTATAATCAGCTTTGTCACCTGCATCAGTATTCAGCCTGTGGGGACAAAATCTGTCTGTATTACTTGCAGAAATTAAGGTTTAGAGACAGCTGAGAATCTACGTAGTTGACTAGAGCATAGTTGTCAATCTCCACATATTCCATCCATCCATTTGGCACCATAAAATTTTCCTCCCAGTGTACAGTCCTGTAAGGAATAAAATTTGGCCACTTGCAAATTGGTGTTAATAGCTTACACTACTTACAGGAAGTTGACAAACAGACGAGTGCGCAAACATTGTAAGAATGTGCATGGTATTAACATTTGTTAAAAAATTAGATCAATCCCCGTATGCATAACGCACATCTAAAACTCTTACCTCAAAAATAATATACCTACACCCATCCACATTTAGTGCTTACATTTCAGATTTTACCTGTAAAATTTCAGTTTTTAATCCATTTCAAGAATGTTTAACCAATCCACTTGGTACTACACTACTACATACGTTACCTGCACCTAATATGAAGTCATTTTAGTATGGATCCTCTATTTTCTCATATCTTTGACTGGGAGGTTGGATGGATGGATTCACAAAACTTATTTGACTTGTAGGTTTTATTGTACTTGAACAACTGCAAGCCTATCTGCTAGCAGTATTTGCTTAATACAAAGGACAGACATTACATCATAACCATGGCCTCATGTTTGTAACTTTTTATTTCCTTTTAAGTATATAATAATAATAATTTTTTAAGAAAGACAAAAGGAGCTCACTTGAATTCAATTCAAATATTGGTACGTTTTCCAGTATAAAAAATAAATGGACCCCTTGAGACAAAATACAGCATAATTGAGAGCAATTATATTGAGGGATAAGAAATTGGCCTATGGTCATTTTATACAAATAATTAGGTTTACACCAATCCACTCTTAATACATCAGTAGCTTATTATCCTAGTACCCCCATTTTGGTCAATTAACATTACAAACACAATAATAAGTCAGATTTTCATGTCAGCCTCCACAGGTCATGCCAAATTCATTTCTTTTCTCAGACATTTAAAAAACCCTACACCATTCACTTCATTCTAAAGAACTAGTCTTGTATCAACCTGTCATGAATATAGAATGACCTTTCATTTCTATTAATTTCCACTCCATTAAGGTAAAAAAACCAAATAATTGTCTATACAGTACTGTATATCATACTGTCTCCTTACAGCATGCTGGGCTTTTGTAAAGTTTCAGATTGTTATCTATATTGGTTACTTCCGTTCTGCTTACATTTTCTAAATCTTTTGGGCATCCTTTACTTTTCTTCTCATCTTCACTCTTTATTCTTATATATTTCTATGACTCCACTGTCTTTATCATTTAGTACTTTGAATTTGTTGTTGCACAGCACCATTCAAGTCCCATTTCCAGACAGCATATTATAAACTCGCTCCCCACAAACATCAGAACCTTGCTGTACGTACTTAGTTCCTTCCACGTGCAACCTGGCAGCGTTTGGTTTGTGTAAAGGGCTTAGTACGTACCATTCTCGTAGCCTTGGGACGTGCCGTACCCACCCCTGCTGTCGTAATTTTCGTAGTTGCTACTGCCCCCATAACTCTGGCCGCCCCCATAAGTGCTGTCATAGCCTGTGTCTGGAAAGACAATACAGATGGCCAGTATTACAATTCTAGCCCTTATATTACTTGGTAATTCATATATCCACCAAAATGGTTCCCCAAATTGAGAAGCAATCCCATGGAACTTTATCTTACTCAGGGCTATTTGTGAATTTCCTGTAATGCCATCTGTGAATTTCAGGCAAATCAAGTCAAGAACTTGAAGAGACTCGCTACCAATACTGTGTACAGTACGAGAGTACTAAAATAGTAATCCAGGGAAGAGTATTCCACATACACAACCATTGGATTCTGGTACTACACCAGACTAATTACTCTACTAAAATGACTGATCACAACTATCTTTGAACATCGCCACCAGCATTTGGTCACAATAGAACTTGGTGCAACACCCCTAACATAAGGAAGTTCACTCAGTTCTGCCAATCAATACACTAATGTGCAGTTAATTACCAAGCAATGACATCTTGGCTCTGGTACCATATCTTGGGACAACTGTTATGTCCAAAATCACATTGCATTTTGTTTACCCTAAAATATTTACTCCCATCGGTATAACCATGGACAAAATATTCATAGTCAAGATACATTAGGAGCCATGATAATTACTTGTACATGAATGTTTTGATGAAACCATAGACCAGTCCAGACGCATTCGTCAAGAGTTCACAAACCAGCCATCACTCACTTGACTTGTAGCCATCATATCCACTGCCGCTGCTGCTGTAGTTTGGCCCACTGTTATAATTGCTGCCTCCGTAGCTGTCATAGTTAGAGGAATTGTATCCGCCACCATAACCACTGCAAAAAAAGTGGGCTATGATCATCATCCTACCCTTATACTACTATATGAAAATGTCACAGATCCACACACACACACACACTCAATGCCAGACATTGATATAAGAAAACAGCCTACATCTGCTGTATACCACATAGATTGCCAAAAACATGCACCATCACCCATTCCCTCTAGCATCTACAATGGAACTGACACTTTCTAACACTGCTCAAAAGTAATTCATTTTGTATTTCTTGCATTATTTTCAGTGACCTTTAGGTGCTTAAGGAGACAGGACAAAGTTTTGGGGTGCATTCAAGTATTCATAGTACAGTATATAGATATTAAAAAAATATTCAAATAACCAAAACAAGCTGCTAGAAGAGGTTGCAAAGAATGCAGTCCTTTTCCCAAAATGGTTCTCAGGCTTCCCAAGCCATTAAGTTATTTTCTTTCATTTGCAAAAGAAAAAAATGAAAAAAAACAAAAAACAATGAAAAGTATTAAATAAACAGTATTTTGAATAAGAGCGACCAAAAAGGTAGGTAGTAATTTAGTTGTTTTGGCCTACCTGTTACCGTAGCCACTCTCCCCATCCATCCTGGGCCGCTTCATGGGAGGGCCGCCATATGAACCACGCGAGGCCCTACAAAGAGACCGCAACTAAGTAACCTACAGGTTCCTTGATTATACCCCCAAAACTCGTGTACTGATTCCTCTACCCCTTTTGTCTTTATTTTTTTTTACAAGAATGAATAAACCAGGACCTCACTGAACACGCATAGGTCACCGTTGTATAATCACCAATATGGTTCACAGATGCGTGCAATTCATATCATGCAGTGTTCCCTGAGTGCACATGCCATCCTAAGACATACCAGCAGTTTTTGATATGAGAATATGGCCAGAAACTGTCAGTTACCAAAATTTTAGTACAATAAAAGGAAAATATACTAATAAAACTAATAGTATGCAACAAGTGTGAAGCTCCAAGTATACACCAACTAACTAGACATTTACGTAAAATAAACATATCCTGCCACTTTCCCTTCAAAAGGCACAAAGCCCAAAATAGTCACGACATACTTATGATACTCACCCTCGTTTCTGGTATCCCCCTTCATATCCTCCACCGCCACCGCCACGTCCCCTTGGGGCTCCCCGATATCCACCACTGCTGTAGCCCCCGCCCCTGTAGCCACCATCCCCATATCCACCACTACCATAACTCCCACGAGGTGCCCCTGTTCCACGGCCACGGAAGCCAGTGCCACGAGTTTGTCCGTATGAGTTGCCTCGGAATCCACCTCTGAAATTGCCTCGGAAGCCACCACGGTATCCAGTGTCAGGGCCACCACTGCAATATAGAAAAAGACAGGTTTTATATTTTTACTGATAGCAAGACAAGATTACATTCACTTCAGAATATAAGGCACCCCCTAAGTTGGATAAGCTCCGACTCAGGAGGGTTCTGTGGGGTGGTAGTTGGAAGGGGTCACTTCTCACATGTTTGTTGTCGTGACCACTGTTTCACTGTGCACTCTGGTTTTTCCCTATTTAGTGCTTCCCTGGTGTATTATTATGGCATCTAAAGCAAGTAAAGTAAAACAACACCACTGAGGATCAATGGGAGAAAAGGAATGGTGCTCAGGACTACCAATTGAAAAGAAAACTCAAGATATGAGACAGAATTGATGCTGAGGTCTCCATACATGCTATCTGTGATGAGCGTGGGTTAAAGTGGTGTACTTTTTATTATATTGGCCACATTTAAGTGCATACTAAATGTATGTGTAACTAAATATTAAGTAATTAAACAGTGTGAATAAACTCACTAAGTGTAAGCAGCCCCCATCATCCTCCACCTCACGATTCATCTGATACAATAAAAGTGCAGTGCAGTGTAAATGTACACTGTTAACTTTAATATATATATTTTGGGGGGAGGGGAAGGGATTTTTTCAGCAAACTGATGGTTGAAAGCACCTAGCAGGGAGGTTACGCAGAAGTCCGACAGCCTCGAGCCCCATATAGTCCGACTTAGAGAGGTTTTTGCAGTATGATCATACAGTATTAATTTTATTCTACTGTATCTTCTCTAAATGTGACTACGTGCATCATCACTTACCGGCCTCCACGAAAACCTCCTCGGCCACGGAATCCACCACGCATTGGGCCTCTGAGGAAAGAATTACTGTACATTAAAATACTATTATTGAATATAAAAAGCCTTAAATGTCAAAATTATTTTAAAGTGCAAATCTTTGCAAGTCTGCAAATATTTTAAGCAACCGCTCCGACCGACACCACCAAATGGTTTTACAACTTGCCTTCTAGAGTCTTTCCAATAACACCTTTAACAGAGCTTTTGATATTAAATTCTAACATTGCATAGTAAATGCCTCTGCTTTTCATGCCCATTACCATTATTGACTTCTTCCTTCACTCCAACTTTTCACCTCTTTCACCTAACTACTGAGTGTTAAAAATATTTCCACTCTTACTTTGCTTCTCAATATGTAAGACTAGTGTTACCAAGCCTACAAGAGTCTGCAACTTGTACATTAAAAAATGTCAAGAGCTTTTTAGAAAATAATTAGATTCCATTAACCTAAGCTTTAATTAACTCAAGTATAAATTTTGCATTAATCAAATGGAGTTTTGGCAATTTACTCAAAATTATCACCGAAGTCTGGAAATTTACACTAACTCTGTAATCTCTTTATTCTTAAAAATCAATTATGGACTCCTATATTTCAGAATTGTTATGCATGGGTGTACATTCTATATTCATTTATCTTATATTGGACTAGATAGTAATTAAAAAATTTTCCTCTCTTTGTTTGGTATGTCTAACTGTTACTTGAAAGTGATCATTGTCACGAAGTATCGTTAACCCATTGAGGTCAGTGACGGCAACTCCCAGTCTTTATCCACTGGACGGGCAATATCAACAAACCGAAAATAAAAAACAAATCTTATCAAAGACTTGATTACAACCTAAGTTCATGTAGGGGCCTTATGGGAGGACACATGGCTTGTTAGCAAATGCCTAATATTTTATATATTTGTCTGGTTTTATAAAGTGTCGGAGGTGAACACACGTTACGCATTATATGAAAAATAAAGAAACTGCTTTGCAGGCCTGGCCGGGTGATGCCATCTTGACCTAAAGTTATGCAGCCCAGCATCTTACCACGCTTACTTACCGCGCATCTTAACGCTTTGTCTACATGCATCTGCACGTGTTCTCTAGATTTTCAAATTCTATGTCGCGCACTTCATCACTGTCTTCAGCACTATAAACGTGTTTATTTTAACACACTACCAGTAGGGAAACAGATTCAGATAAACTGGACATATCATTATTCTGTTCAACTACTATAAGCTTAAAGTACACCTAGACCCCAACTTACGACTACGTGGACTTACGACCGCCGCAGATTTTTTTTTTTCCCCAAAATGACACACGCATTTTCTATACCGAAACGTTTCCAGTTAATGTAGTCTCCATGTATAATTAGAAAATTATGGGGGCCCCATGTGCATTCAGCTGACTACATTAAAGGTTAAGTGCTCAGTCACACTGTATCCATTCCTTATTATTTATTACTTTCACTGTACTGTATCCATTCATCATTATTCATTACTTTTACTGTACTGTATTTCATTGTAGATTTTTTATTAAATTTTTTTTTTTTTTATCTATGTCGGACTTACGACCTGGATTTGGGTCCCTAACCCCGTCGTAAGTCGGGGTCTAGGTGTAATCACTTATCTCCTTTTGCTTATGAGAACACACATTGTACACTTTTTTTATAATGTACTGAATCAGTAATGTAAAATAACATTCCACACAATGTTAAACACTCTTGGCTCCAACTTAAGTTAGGGTAAACTGCACACTTCACTCACGTTCAACTCTGGTACATACTGTGTTTTCTAATACTGTCTCTGCTTGTTCCTCCTGCAGTTGCAGCACACGATACTATGCCACATTAAAGACGTGCATTTGGCTAATTCGTTTTCTATGGGTAATTCAAATGAGGCACAGCCCCTAGGATGGTGAATTAGCGAGATTCGAGTGTTATTTTTTATTAAACCTCAAAGGGAATAAATATTTAGACAAGTAGGATACAGAGCAAGTGTTTTCTATCTGTAAGTTAATATTTGTTCTCAGCATGAATGTAAAGTGATTCATGTGTGTATAAATGTATAACCAATATCTTACTACAGCATCTGAATGACTAGTGTAATATGTACTACAGTGGGGTATGCTATAACGAACGGATCCTACTACGAATATTCCTATAACGAACGGTTTTACCTATAAAATTGAGAATGCTATAACGAACGAAACTCCTACAACGAACATTTAAAAAAAAAAAATTTTTTTTTTTACTAATTTATTGTTTTTTTATTACAAATATTAATGATATTCTTTATTTCAGGGGTTTAGATGCATATTTATGCACTTTTTTACAATTTTTACAATATTATATTATATTTTTCAGTGTTAAGTGGTTGTATTTGGGGGCCTGGAACGGATTAATCCTATAACGAACGAATGCTATAATGAACAAGGTTCTAGAACCAATTAGATTCGTTATAGCATACCCACTGTATATACTATTTGAAAATATCCAAACACTACATTTACATAACAGATTTTTAATTAGGTCCATATACAGTAAGCTCACAATAACCAAAATTTGAAAATTAACCACTTCATCTCACGAGGCAAAAACAAAAATCTTACTTTACTGAACTACCACTAAATGTTTAAGAAGTTAAAACTAACTTTAATAATGATTTACACGAGATAGACAACTACTTAAAGTTTGGTTAGATTAGTGAATCTAATCCTCCCCCACACCATTTAACATAAAACAAGAGCCATACCCTTCTGTATTTTCATTCAGTGATATTATTAAATAATTAGTTCTGGAGCTCAATATATTAGGGTTATCTGAGAAAGCCTAACATTTACATGTGGTTTTGTGTGTAGGCAAATTATCAATTTCGCATAATTGTACTGATGACTTAGAATTTAAATTTAATTACATATAATGAAGCGGTTTTTACTCTAAACTTCCCTTAAATAATAACCACTACCACGAACTGCAGTCACCAACATTTGTCTAAAACCATGACACAACTTACCAAGGAAATTGCCAAACTCGACATCACCGATTCCATTAATGAGCAAACTTACATCACATAAGGTCAGAATGTAGGAGAGGAGGAAGCATAAAGACATGATGTGCATACAAGAAATGGGGTTAGACCCAATTCAAGAAGTTCTCCACCAACTCACCATATAAAGCTTACACACACAGTCCACTTTACTACTTGATGTACAATGAGTTGTTCGAAGATTCAAATGGTATATTATAGCAAACCCTAAAAAATAGCATTTGACCAACTCTTCCCATTAATTTTTTTTACAAAGTATGCAAGGGCCTCTCAAAGTCTTATGCTAACACTGAGATAGTGGGAACCTAACAGCCTAGCCAAACCCACGTAAAAAAATGTGATTGACCTTACTGAGCAGCTACAATCACCAAAAAGTACATATTGAAGGATAAATATCTTTTGCTACCAAGATTCCTCCATTTTTTCGGACAATTGCACACAGGACAAGAACTATAGGCTATGCAAAATTAACTTTGTTTTTTACACAACTGAAAGAACTCTGAGGACAACTTTACCCATTTTCAGAAGTTACAAATCCCTTGTGCTATACAAAAGGCGAGTTGCCTTCAAAGAGTACATTTCCTCACAACCACTCTTGTTCTAAAATTAATTCAAACAATAACTACAGTACTACTAGTAACTACATAGGACCTCTCAGTAAGATCACAAGAACTCTTAGAACCCACCAGCTATCACATATGTTTCTATGGAGAGCTAATGTAATCTTCGCCACTGAAAATTCACAATATCTTTTTAGTCCGTATTTGTTTCTTCCAACTAAACCCAAGACTGGAACCATGTCCCTAAAAGTTGGGACCATTAGGCAATCTCAGCAGTGAAAAGACCCTTCAGATATAAGTAAAAATTTATCAATAGAAACCCAGGATTCCTATCTATACTATGTACAGTCAGCCAAAGATCCAGCGACCCCACCCTGAGTCTCGTACTGGCAATTTTACCTGGCAATACATGGTAAAGTAAAGTCGTATGTAAAGGTGACTGTGAATGGTGGATCTATTTTTGACTGCATTACTGTCAGGATAAATATTAAACAATCCAACGGTAGAATTTTTTTAATAATAAACTATTCATTGTTATTTAAGATCATGAGAAGTTTCAAAATGTTCTTATATTTGTTTGAATAATATATATACTTTCCCATTGACTTCCATTTTAAAACTAGAGATGCGTTCCTAAGGAATTTTTTTCGGCCCCAAAAAAGTAATTCAAGCACTTTTGCGAATGAAAATACACAATTATAATCACATACAATATAGTACAGTGATCCCTCGGTTAATGAATTACCTTCCATAAGATTCTTCACTTCAGTTAACGAGCAATCCCTCGATTAATGAATTCCTTAAGAGCGCCCCTCAACATGTTTTCGCTTGCTCACCAGCTGTAGTATTAGTCCGCCAATACAGTAATCAGTTCCAGGGCTTAAATTCCTTACTATTTTAGTAAATATCAAGACGGTTGTACTATTCAATAACTTTAAAAGTCTTATATTAAATTTTTTAGTCATTTTAACAATAATTTAACATAATTGAAGTACAGGGAAACTAGTTTTTAGCGCGCCAAACAGCCACTCAATGCACCAAACAGGCGTCAGTCTCTGTCTCTTTTCAGTAGAGGTAACATCTTGCTTCAGACTCTCTTCAACATAAACTATTTTTTCCATTTTTAGTGAAAATATTGGTCATTTTGAAATTTATTTTACATGATGATATATAGATCAGTGCAGTGTTGCTTTAAAGAATTTTTTCTTTATTTACAGCAATTAAATTTAAAATTTTAGTATTGAAATTGTTTTTGAATTCAGCATGGGTCCCAAGAAATCCAGAAAAGCGACTTCAATCCAGGTGAAACAGGAAATTATTAAGAAACATGAAGAAGGCATTAGAACAAATGTGCTTAGCAAAAAAATATGGCATGTCGACATCAACTGTGTCGACAATTATTGCACAGAAAGACAAATTCAAGGAAGTGAAAGTGAGAGACAAATCTACCAGTGTTTAAAGGTAGATCCCTAATAGCATAAACAGAGAGGTTACTTCTCATTTGGATTAGGGAAAAACAAATGAAAGGTGATTCAGTTTCGACCGAATTTATTTGTGAAAGAGCCAGGGAGATTTACAAACATTTAAAGGCAGATCAACCTGGTTCTTCAGGCACAGTTTGAAAAGTTTAGGGCCAGCAAGGGCTGGTTCGAAAAATGAAAGAAAAGAAGCGACATTTTTAGTGTTGTTAGGCATGGTAAGGCTGCCAGTGCTGATAAGGAAGGAGCAGCAAAATTTTTAGTGGACTTTAAAGAACTGGTGGATAAAGAAAATTATCTTCCACAGCAAGTGTTCAATGTGGACGAAACTGGGCTGTTCTGGAAAAAAAAAGGCCCAAAAGAACATTCATCACCAGAGATGAAGCCTCTTTACCTGGGCATAAACCCAAAGAAAGACCGTCTCACTCTATTGCTTGGTGCCAATGCTTCAGGGGATTTCCGACTGAAGCCTATGCTTGTCTACCACTCTGAGAACCCCAGGGTGTTCAAGCAACAAAAAGTGGTAAGAGGACGACTTGGAGTTTATTGGAAGTCTGACCGTAAGGCATGGGTGACATGACAGCTCTTTAATGAATGGGCAGTTGAGGTGTTTTGCCCTTCAGTGAAGAGCTACCTAACCACCAATAAACTTCCTTTAAAGGCTCTTCTCCTTATGGATAATGCCCCTGGTCATGACCCTGAAATTGCCAGCACTTTGGAGTCTCAATTTGACTGTCAAAGTGTTGTTTTTGCCTCCCAACACTACATCAATCATACAGTCAATGTACCAGAATGTGATCAGCAACTTTAAAAAGCTGTGCATGAAGAAAATGATCAGGTGTCATCATCAGGCAACTTCCGCTCATCCTGAACTAACACTGGCACAGTTCTGGAAGACACAATTTAACATCCTGGAGGCTGTAAAATTGATTGTCCTCATGAGAAGTCTCCACTAGATCCCTCAATTCTGCATGGAAAGCACTGTGGCCATCAGTAGTCCATGATTCTGAGGGATTTGAGGAAGAAGCAGAGTTGGACCAGGAGATTGTGTCCATTGGTCAGTCATTGGGCCTTGTAGTGGAGGAGGTTGATGTGGAAGAGCTTGTGATGTTTCATGAGCAGGAACTTACTCCTGAAGACTTGCAGCAACTGGATGAGATGTTAGAGGCTGACAGTGGTGAGGAGGAAAGGAAAGTGATGACCATATGTCTACTTCAGATTTGAAAGATGTTGTTCACTACTGGGAGAAGTTCAGGAAACTAGCTTCAAGGCACCCTAATGTGGAAAAAGCAGAACTTGCTTTGTGTAATGTTAAGGACACAATGGTCTCCTTCAAACATCAGTTAATGATGAGGAGAGATGCCCCACAACAAAAATTGAAATTTTTTTCACTAAAAGGCAGCGGGAAAAAGATGCTCGCCCCCAGTCTTCCACTTCAAGAAGGAGAGAGGATGTTCCTGCTGGAGAATCTGTCAGTCCAGAGGTACCTGACATTTTCATGGAAGGTGACTCACCTTCCAAGAAGCAGTAAAATGCTTCTCCTCCACCCCCACTTCCTTCTCCTCCACCTCCCACTTCAAATTTACATCAGCATCATCATCCAGGAGCCTTCTACATACACACCTCAAAGTAAGTGTACTTTACTACCTTTTTTGTTGACTATGCATTTTTCGGTGAGCTGGAACCAATTACCCAAAAAACCCATTGAAACAATGGTTTCGGTTAACGAGCAACCTTCTGGAACGAATTGTGCTCGTTAACCGAGGGACCACTGTACATTAAGGGTATTGCACTGTACTGTACTTACTGTATGTTTGTAAAAGTTAAACCCAACTGCTGGGGCGAGAAACCTACACGCACACTGGATGTAAACAATGGAGTGACTCTTGGTGGTAGCAAACACCAAACACCAAACAAATTATAATTTTTAACAAAAAATTTCAATTTTATATAGCGATTTTTTTTAATTGTTAAAATTTACCCCAATTTCCGTAAGGGCGGATTTGCGGGCCATATCACGAAATTATTGGTCATAATTTACAAATTCCGTAAGAGCAAAATTCCGTAACCCGGGCTTCAGTAACGCAGGGGATGCCTGTAGTGTGTGTGTGTGTGTGTATATATATATATATAATATATATATATAATATATATATATATAATATATATATATATATATATATATATATATATATATATATATATATAATATATATATATATATATATATATATATATATATATATATATATATATATATATATATATATATATATATATACATATATATACATATATATATATGCTGATAACCACAAGGAAAGAAGAAAACACGAAGTTCCCAAGCGCTTTCGTGTAATTCACATCTTCAGGGGTGACTGCAGTAGGTAATTGTCTATTGTGCAATATGTTTGGTGTTATTTGTTTCTGTTTTCTACAAAACAAAGAAATGATAGGCTTCACCCGAATGCAACTTTTGTCCTTGACTTCAACCGTTCGTAATACATACATATTTTAAAATTTTTAGCATCCTCTTTGAAGTGCTAATGCCTTGAAATCATTTGCATTTTTATGTTCGTAATTTTTTACATTATTATTGAGAACAGGTCTAATTATAAATTGTGAACATATTAGTATGACTAATGCCGAGGTAAACGAACACTTTTTATGGAACAATGAGCTACTTTTTAGCGTAGAAAGGGGGCATGGCTTCTGGGCCATGCTAGTGTAAAGTGAGTATAGCTAATAATCTGAGACAAAGCATTTATCTACATGGTATGCTGAGTGAACACTAGAAATACATGTGAGGTGTGGGTGAATTAGGATTTAAAGACCAGTTATGCTATGTGCTGGCCCTACTTCCTCTCTCTATTAAGGAAAAGCCTTTACTCCCAAACACTCCTCTTCAAGGCCACAGTTGCAATAGAGGAAGTTTACTGTAATTTCGATAAGCCCTAGAATGATTGTTTAGAAGGCACATACTTGAGCCCTAACGATTGTGGCTGGCAATAAATAAACACAATGATGAACACCACTAAAATATGCAATCCCGTTCTGTGAATTTTTGGACCATTGACAAAAATAGATTAAGGCCTTAGAAGCCTTGGTTTTCCCCAGAAATATATTAGTTCAGACCCCCCCCCCCCAAAAATACTACAACAATTATCTGCCCCCATAAACTCAGGTACTGTATATATAAAACAGGTTAAGTGATGGTCTACACAAACCCTGAGTATCCTGGGGCACCTCGCGCTCGGAATCCACCACCACCTCGTCCTCCTCTGAAACCACCACGTCCTCGGAAACCATTGTGGGGAGCGGAGTTCTGTCCTCCACTGGGACCGTCTGGGGAACTGTCTTCCATATTTATTTTCTGAAAAGTTACATTATAAGGTGAATAAAAAGTATGCAGGTATACTGTAAGCTGAAAATAAAAATTTTTATCTTCAATACCTGTAGCCAATCTCAATGGAACATTATCTTAAAAAATTTAAAAAATTTAAGTCTTACACTGTATAAACCTTAATGTTTTTCTACAATTACAGTAAACCATCTCCTTGCCAACTTTCATTTGCACCACAATATATTTATTAAGTTAGAATTAATCATGTGGCGAGTGTGGTGGGTGTCGGACTGAGTGGGAACAAGTTCCATTGAACCCCATGTTATACTGATCCCAATTTACGATACTTCGACCTGCAGTGGTTTTTTCAGGAACACAACCAAATTGCAAATAGGGGATACCTGTACATGACTTTTCCAACCTAACTTAACATCCCAGCTGCATAGTCTCCAGTCTGCCCAGCCACTTCCCTTTCTTTCTAATGAGTGAAGATCATGCTTATTATGCACATTCCAGGGGAAACCTCCCATAACTTTTATACAATATATAAGTAATATCAGGAATGTTTATAGGCATATGCAGTGCAGTTAAAGTATTGTTGTATCATGCCTACCATCTAGTTTGCTTTCTTCACCTTCCCTGAAAAGGGGTCAGTTTGCAGCTTGTTTGTCATTAATACATCCTGAAATTTTATTTTTTGGGACTACCCTGTAATTGATTCTACAGTTTGTACAGCATTCATTCATATGGACACTTATCCATATTGCATTTTTTTATACGGGGAATAGCCTACCCGGGCACAGGTCATCGACCCACAGAAAAAAATAAGAATAGAAAGTAATTATAAATAGAAAAGGTTATATTAATCTACGCCATGAAGATGCCAGAAAACCATCAATTTGAAGCGAGATTGCTTGTATGAGTGTGGAAACACAGGAGGCAGAGCATTCCACAGTTTTGCTGTGTGAGGAAAGAACGATGTACTATAACAGGTTATTCTAGTGTGACCGACATCCACAGAGAAATGGTGGGCACCGCAGGTAAGACGTGTTACTAGCCCACAGCCTCACCTGTGATACACAGTATGCCAAATCCACCAAACATTGCCTGTTAAAGTACCTGTACAAGAGAATGAAACAACACTGCAGCAAAGAGAAAGGGAAGAAAGATTGTCAACTAAAGGAGAGCTATTAAGATATTAAATTCGGAAAACCATTTCCAGACCACAAATAGGATGGGTCCAAGAACTGACCTCTGCAGCACTTCACTTTGGCTTTGCTACCACCAGAAGTTCTTCAATATCATCATTTTTTCCAGACAATCTTATTTTAATTATAAAAAGGTAAATTTACTCGAACCTCACCTAACCACCAATCAAAGAAACTTTACCTAACTTCCTAGACTCCCAGTGGTGTCAAACTCAATACCTTTCAAGGGCCAATTCTTACTTTTAGTTACCCTCTTCAGGGTTACCCTCATTTGGGTTTGTCTGATCTTATGTAAAATTCATTTTACTTAATAAACATTATATCTATTTCTATCATAATTTCACGGGATGATAAATTTTACCGTCATCCCGCGGGCCACAGCTGACCATCCCAAGGGCCACATTTGGCACGCGGGCCATAAGTTTGCCACCCCTGTCCTAGACAGAGAGCTCTGCCCCATGGACTCCCTGCCATATTATGTAGAAAGTACTTATTGTGATATCTGGTGCTAATGAAAGTAACTTCGTTGAAGCATCAAAGTGTATTTTTTTTTTGACAACATCAGATTTTTCGGAGTATCTACGATAAATAAATAATTTCATGTATAAAGCATGCAGAGGCATTTTAGTGTCACATGATCAGTTCTTCATGTTTTGCCCTACAATTTCCCTCACCCTTCATGTCTTGCCCACTATGAGTGATTTATGATTGTAGATATAGGAAAAAAGTGAGAATATAAGATTGTCACTCCTAAACTACTTACAATCACCACAATAACAAGTAAAAGACAAAAGAAATCCAGGAACATTTTCTGGTGACTGCAGTTTCCATATAAATTACTGTACTGTATACTGTACAGGTATATATTTCTGCTTATACCGATCCTCTAATGTCTCTATACACACATGGTAAAAAAATAAATAAATATCCCTGAATGGGTCCGATGAGTTTCAAAATCATCAATACGACTCGATTTTGTCTTCACAGAGTTGCCACAGAAAGTGACAAGATTCTTTTTTCATCAATTTGTAGTTTCAACCAAGCATGGCTGTCAAGTTGAGCAATGTGTTTTTCTAATGGTTTATTCAATTTTAAGACACTTTTCTTCTATGACTTTTCCCTCGTAAATAACTTGAATATACCATGGGATCCAGGGGAGGACGGAGCCCCCGGCTAGGAGGTTAGGTTAGGTGAGGTAATTTCAGGTCATTTGCAAGGGAAACACCACCGGTCTTAAAAATGTCTAAACCATCGGAAAAACACATTGCTCAACTTGGCAGCCATGCTTGGTTGAAATTACAAATTGACCTCTCTTTTTTCACTGTGTACAGTGTGGTATGCTTAGTTGTTTTGTTTTTTTAATCTAAGCAAATTACATCATGGGTTAACCTTTGTCATAACATTGTGGTCCAATCCTTAAGTGCTTCTAATATGTTTGTTAGGTACAGTACAGTACTATTATTTTCAGTAATTTCTGAGAACAGCACTACCACCAGAAGGGGTTCTTCAATTTCATTCATTTTTTCCAGATGTTCTTAGATTAAGTATTTTAAGAGGCAATAACATATTTGTTTTTGTGTTTTTTCTACCTGTAATGGGCAGAAGTAAAACACGGCAAAATACTGGTCATATGACACCAAAATGATGCCCCTGCATTCTTTGCACATAAAGCGATTTTTTACAGTGTATATTCCTGAGAAAACCTGGCGACCCACTGTGTGTCGTCTGTTTACACTGACCCACTCGGTCCGAGCATACAGTACTCCCACGTTGAAAAAAAAAAGTAAAATTACACAATGACACTTCAACAAAGTGGCTTTCATTGGTACCAGTGAAAGTATTTTCTGTTTATATGGCAGGAGATCTCCAGGCTAGGAAGTTAGGTCACAGGTTCCAGTAAAATGTTACCTCTTAAAATACTTGCTATAATGACAACACCTGTGGAAAAAATTAATGAAATCAAACGACTCCTTATTTTCCTTTAGTAATTTCCTATCCTCTTTTTTTGTTTAACCGTATAACTATAGCATTTGGTCTTTTTATATTAGTGCACCATTCTAACCTAATCAGGATAGGTTAGGTTTGGTTGGTTTTGGGTGATTTTCTATGGTTTTATACACATATTTCTAATACCCAAATAAAGAACGGTGCAGCACTATAAACAGCCCTCGCATTTTTCCAATCTGGGGATAGTTAGTCTTTTTAAAGAGATTTATTGAACAGTCACAAGTGATTTTAATAGTTCATTCATTGACGCTCATGACCCTTGGATGTATGTTATATGGCCACATTGCTTTCAATGTCACACCTTTCTTTACTAACTTGTTTGTTGGGGATTCTTTAAGTTACTTCCTCACTGAGGTCAGCAGTTTCTTATATGTTTTGGTCCATCTCTATTGATGACAATCTCACTTGCCACCAAACCAGTAGTTTTATATCAAATTACTTGTTTTATATTATTTTGGCAAAACACTGAAAACTTACTTTCTTTTAGCTTATTTTAGGTAGTTTTAATGCCAATGTCCATAAAAAAATAAACACCCACAATAAATTATAAAACAAAAACTGCCGTATGCTTTTGGGTTCATACACTGCCCACCTTGCTTAATTCCTGTTAAGAGAAAGTGGTTCTTTTCCTGCAGCCAGAGGTAAGCGTTAGTGCAAGTACAGTACGAGAAGCATGTTCACCCTGAGTCCTTGCAGGTCACCCTGGGTCATGACTCAGCCGTAGTACCAGCCACAAGCAAACCAGTCTTTGTAGGCCACATTATGGCAATGTGAGGCCCACTAGAAAGTAAAAAAGTGAGGTTAGGAGGCAATAAAGGGCAATAGTAAGGAAGAGCGTGACAAGAGAGGGCCAGGAGAGCGGAAGTGTGTGGCGGGAACAAAGAGCGGCAATGGTAGCCAAGGGGACGCCACACGCCGATCGATCACTAAAAATCAGAATTTTGGGGGGGATATTTCCGACATTCCCCAGGACTGCCTCGTACATCTTAACCATCAACACATCACAATGGCCATTACGATCAATCAATAGATGACATTACATCTGTTGTAGTTACGGAGATGCGTAGAGCCACGCGGGTCTTGGCAGACGCAGTAGTCTGCCACAGTGGCGACGCGGGAACACCAATATACCTTAATATCGCAATTACTACCATATAAAATTCATAAACTATACATCAGAAACATATAATAGTGTCTAAGCAACATACAGACTAAAGCTTAGAGGAATTAATTACGTTTATCCATTAATAAATGGGAAAAAACTCACCTACGATGGAGTGCGTGAGCTCCTCTTGTCTTTCAAAATGGAGTCGGTGTGAGCAGTACGGGGCGGCCGCCGGCCACGCACGGCGCCGCCATCACTCACTCTCTTTTACTTTCGTTCAAAATTTGTTTTATATATTTATACTCTCCTCTCACATCCATGCCTTTCATATCCCTACAACCCCTGGATAATTTAATGAATCCCTGTAATCAATTCAAAGTGGTATTCGTGATTTTTTCTGCGTGAATAAAGTTTAAACAACTTCAAATTTAAGTTCTTAAAATATGTTTATTTGTGAAACCAAACTGAAAAGCTACTGGTGTAGGTGTTGGCGTACGGGCAAAGGAGGGAAATTTAATAAAAAAATATTTTTGTGGAATTGACCCTGTAGATTTCACGATTTAGGGTCTAAAAAACGTTAGGCATTACAGAATTTTTATATTTAAATATATCCATAGGATCTGAGTACGCATTTCTATATGTATATTTGGTTTGTTGTATAGTTTGTTTTGCATATAATAGTAGGGGATGGGCACTAGAGCCAAAGAGTTAAGAGAGTAGTAGCAGTAACAGTTAAGGACAATCCAAGGTCGGTGTCAGTCAATAGTTTTTCTAAACACACTGCATTTAAATGTTTCGGTCATTATATATATATATATATATATATATATATATATATATATATATATATATATATATATATATATATATATATATATATATATATATATACTCTGTATTGCAAAAATATTTAAATGTACTGTCAATTTAAACAAAGTTTTACATACAATTTCTATATACTTAAACATCTTTCAGGTAGAGCGAGGCAGTTGGGAGAGAAGTTAATTCAAGTTATAACTTACAATATATTGCAGCGCTTCAACACGTAACAAGTTAGTAATTACACTAGTCCATCAACAGTTAGAGAGTATGAGAGATTTACTTTTTACTTTTATCCTCTTCGCCACTGATCGGCTCGTTAGCCGCTTGGGCGGTCACGTCTCTGATTGCTTTTCCTTTTAATTTACCTTCTTCACCAAAAGATCGGCTCGCTAGCCGCCCGGGCTATCGGTCGCGTCTTTGTCACGCACGGTTGGCAAATACTGGGCATGCAGCGGCTCCTGAATGTACCTGAACCCGCCCCAGTGTTGGTCAAGTCTTGTCTTGAAAGAGCTCACACTCGGTGCCGTCACAACACTCTCTGGTAGATTGTTCCAAGAGCTTACAACCCTCACTCCGAAAAAGTTTGCCCTCACAGATTTTTTTTTTAGATTGCCCACGAGGGGGCTAGTTTATTGGGCACCCCCTTACATCCTGTGCAAGGTGAAGCGCAGAAGCGTTTGCAGCGCCCAACAGGGAAACATGGTAAGTTCATGCTTGCCTTTATGTCTGTCTCATGAGTTAAGGGCGTAGAAGCCTGAAGAATCAATGGTGTATGTCATCAAGTTATTGGAAGCTCCAACAACTCCCTGAATATGAATTCGCAAATTTCGACAGGTACCTACTTTATTACTGGTGAACAGAGACTAATGGGGGCTAGGAAGTAAGTCCAAACAACTTCCCCCGACCCGGGAATCGAACCCGTGACATCTTGCTTGCGAGGCAAGAACGGTACAGCTTCTACCACCAGCGCCCCCCATCTCCTCACAATTTTCTCGATTGAATAGTGCCCCTGAGATGCTTATTCACCTCAACTGGGTCCCCCCTTGCCCGTCTGTAGTATAAGCTAGGCAAGTTCAGGCACTCCAATCTCTCAGGGTAGCTGAGGTGCCGAAGTGCTGGCACCAGTCTGGTGGCCCTCCTTTGAACATTTTCAACCAACTGACAGTCCCTAACATATCTTGAGGATCAGAGATAGAAATCTCCAGACGAGGGGAAGAAGCGTTGAGGAAGGATAATAGTATACTGTACCTGGATATTTGCATTATAGTACACGGTCTACCGGGTTGTTGCAGGATATTTACATTACACCGTCCATTAACCTAATCTAACTTAACCTAACCCAATTTAACTTAACCCAACTAACCTAAGTGCACTTAACCTAACCTAGTTTAAGTTGATAGATAGCTTACTACAGTAGCACCTTTTAGGAACTCCTACCCTCCCTCTCCATTTCTTCTGTCTATACACTTTATATCCTTTTGCGATCAGTGGTAAAGAGGATAAAAATAACTAATAATTAATCTTGTTTTACCCCATCTTCCTTTACACACAAAAAAGGGTATTACTGGTAGGAAGAAAGTGATCCATTTGCTGCAATGCCACATATATGGGCGCAACTCTACAATGAAGGTAATATTGTCAATCTAAATTTAATTCAATAATTTGTTATTATTATTATAAACTTGTATCGGTGACGCTTTTAAGGCTTCATTTATCACAGCGCACCTGTTGCACTCAGGTTTCCTACGGACGTCCTGATTGGCGGGAAGTGATCACAAATGACGGAAAAGGTGGTGTGGGCCAATGAGAGGGCGGGTAGCAATGGGTGTAGGGGCGGGGTGGGAGGTTGGCCAGCTGAGAGGCGAGTTCCTGTTTACATGGGAGAACGTCTCTGGGACATAGACGAGATATGAGATTTCAGGTTAGTGTGAGCGATGTTGTTCTTAAAAAGGATCATACAGAGATAATGACGTCCGGGAGGAAGATAGTAGCTTTGAGTTAATGCTGTAGGGGAGGTAATGGTCGTGGAAAATGGTGGACTGAAAGTTGCTCAAATGTCAAGAAGCTCGGTTAAACGACTAATATTGTGATAACCATTCTAGATCGGGACCCTCCAGAGTTAATTCTTTGTACTTTTTCCCAAATCTGGAGATGTGAGAAGGTGTCTGCTGGCTCATTGGAATAATAATACAAAACTTGGAGCGGAGATGACTACAAAATTACAGTGAGACTTGTCCATTATTCAGTGCTCCTCTTGATATCGTAAAATCTAAGAATATGAACCATGCATATTAATCAAGCATAGTTTTATTGAAGTATATGCATTTGAGTGTCGCACGAATTGGCATTGTCAAGAAATTTCGACTGAAGACGAGACTTTACCCATCAGTGTGACACTGCCGCTGTATACAGTTAAACAAATAGGCAATTTCTGAGAACAGCACTACGGACCGCCAAAAGAGTTGTACGATTTCGCACATTTTTTTCCACAGGTGGTCATAGCATTATAGTAAGCATTGTAAAAGAGGCGACAACTTTTTATTTTAATTATTTTTTTTTAGTTTTCTCTATGATCATAAATCACCTGTACTGGGCAGGGCATTAAGGATGAGGGGAAGTGATGAGTAAAACACAGTATATATAATGATACAGTATTTGTATTTTTGGTCTCTCAGCCATTAGCTGATGGAAGAATCCAAATTACCTGACTTCTCTTTCTTTAAATCCTTTTCAACACTGATCAGTTTGTTAGCAGCTTGGGTAAGTACTGGACATGTACTGGCTCCAGAATGTACAGGTATCTCTACCTGCACCAATGTTGATCAAGTCTGGTCTTGAATGAACTCACACTCGGTACCATCACAACACACACTGCCAAATTGTTCCAAGAGTTTACAAACCCTCACTTCAACAAGGGGTAATATTACAGTAAACAGCAACCACAGAATTCTGGAAATTTACTACACTATCATGTGACGAATGCTATTTTGTGGTAATTTTTCTAAAATTTAAATTTTTTTGAAATGCACTGTATATACGTATTACATACATGCATTCATACAGTATAAATAAAGAACTGGAAGAAATGAATATTCATTTTTACTCCTGCTGAAACAGCATAAGCTAACCAAATTGAAGCAAGAACAAAAAAGTCAACCACTCTCCACTGCGGCCTTGGGCAGACTGACCATCTCGGACATGCTGACAGTGTTGACAACTTGACTCGTACTGTCGTACACTAAGGCTCATCAGCAGTGTTGACAACGGCAACTATATATCATAAAAATACTTTAACGATTATTATGGCCTTCAGTTCCCACTGTTTTTAATATATTGAAGGTAATTTATATAATTCTTTTAAGTCAGACAACAAAAAAGGGGACAAATTAACGTCCGGCTCTAGGTAGCGCCGGACGAAGGACAGAGTGCTCAAAAGCTGGACTGTCCGGCCTAAAGCCGGATGTCTGACCACCCTATGTCCGCCCCTGGCTAGGGGGTTAGGTAACGTTTAGTTTGGCTATTTTGTATAATTCAGCAAGCACAGGGTACCGGGAATCTGAAATTTTATCCATCAAAGTGTGCCCTGACAGTTTTCTGAACTTAAGGCTTCTTCAGCTTTATGCTCTGACCCTTAGTGGGGTGGGCTTCCGCCAGTGCCAGGTATGAATACTCGACTGAGTAATGCCCTGTAAGGTATTTATGGACTATTATTAAGTCACACCTTACCCATCTATAGTATAAGCTGGCATTTTAATCCCTCTGGGTAACTGAGGTGTTGTAGAACAGGCACAAGTCTGGGGACCTCCTTTGGATGTTTTCAATCAACTGACAGTCTCTAGCATATCTAGGATATGAGATGAGGTGACAGCACTCCATACAGGGAAGCTGTTTAACTTTTGAAGAGTGTTTTAAGGGACAAACTCTTGTTATGTGACTGCCTGTCTTATACTTGGGGTAATTTATTTTGTGTTGAGAGCACATGATTGAATGGGAAAGAATGACTAAGCCGGGGACACATCAGCTGGTGGAGACATCAGCTAGGGGATATATCAACTTGGAGACAGTACAGTACAGTAATTCTCAGGTTTTCACCCCCTGTCAAAGAAGGGAAAAGCATCTTTATTTTGCTTATCATGGGTACCACACCCAATAATTGTATAAAAGAGCAACTCTGTTAGGTAATATTTTAAATTTAGCTATTTTAATACAGTAATTCCCACTGGTAGACAGGAAATTTGGTGACTACATGAAAAGAAAAAGGGACACTTGCATTGGAGGTCAAAGGGTTAACTGATTTTTAACAGTAGGTAACACATCTAAGTAAACTTGTAATCCTAAGGTGAGTTGGTTCATGTCATTTCTTGTCAGATATAATATAACCTCCAAGCATTGAACTCGGTGTTCAAGAGATGTATGCCATTGGGGATAAGAATTTTAATTGAGTTCACATTTGTTTTTCTGATTTCATTCACACCATACAGGTATTTACTTTGTATACAATAAAACAAACTTATCAGTGAGACCTCTGCTAAAATTTTTTGAGTATTTAGTGGCAATACTCTTACGCACCTTTTCCAAGTATAGTACTGTACAATATTGTGTTTTGGTGAAAAGAATCTCTTTGTGGGATGAGTTCCGGAGATTAGAAATATACCATCTACAGGTACTTAGTTTTCATAAAGTTATTTCTTAATGGTACAGATCAAGGCTAGAAATTGTCTTGCTGTAGGTTTAGATTCCATTATGATATACAGTAATCAACTTGTTGGTCTGAGGTTTGTGGTCTGGTCTCCCACAGGTAACATGACGGAGGGTTACACGATGGGGGTTGAGAGGGAGGAGTATGTGGAGGTGATGCATGATTATTCTTACCAGCGGGATGACCGCACCCTTCACATGACCAAGGGAGAGATCTTGATGCTCCTCAAACGTTCTACCACTGATTGGTGGCAGGTTTGTCATTTTCTGCACATTAATCATGAGTAGATGTTATAGTACCTCAACCCATTGTGCTCTAATTCTTAGTTATATAAGATACATATGGTAGACTGATAGTAGTAGTACATACTGAATTATAGGATGTTCACCTATTTAAAAAAAATACCTGTCTATTTTTCAGCAAGATAGGTGATGGTTTAAAAAAAATATATGATAACTGTAAATTCTTGTTTACAGGTCATAAGACAAGGAGAACAACGGCCTTTCTTTGCACCAGTGCAATACATCCGAGTAACAGCTATACCCCATGAACAAATGAAGCAGTTTATCAAACAAGGAAGACAACAGTATAAGCCACAGCAGAAACAAAGTTCAGATGAAGACGCTCCAATCGGTAGACCACAGGTCTTACCTTTGCAGCAGATGGATAATAAGTGTACATCAGCTGTGGGAGAGACCTTGTCTCCCCCAAACCCAGTTCCTAGTCAGAGTTATGTAGCCAAGATAGAACCCAATAGAGGAGCATTAGAGAGAAAAGATCAGTATCCATACAGACTACAAGGATTTTCTTCCTTTAAAAGTGATGCAGTGAAAGGCCTACCCCCAAGGAGCAGCATCAATGAACTACCTTCTCCAAGCTCCAGAACCTGTACACAAGGTGGGCACGAGTCTTCATCATCACATACATCAAAGTCAAGCCTAAATGATGGTAGCTTGGAGTCACTGAAATATCTCCATTCCAGAAAGCAGGTGATGAAGGCAGCTTCACATGATGAACTAACATGTGGGGAAAGAAGTCACTCCACTTTAGATATTAGTCAACCTCGAGCAGCTAGTAGTGAAGAGTTAGATGGTCATTATAGTGGCAGGGACTATTTATTTAAGAGTAACCAGTTAAGCCATCGACATAGATCCAACTCTGTTGATTTTAGAATATTTCAGAAAGAATTATCTTTTAGTGAAATGAAGCAAGGATCTCTCGACAAAGTTCGTAAACCAAGACTATCAAAGGATCCAGGCAACCGAAGGAGATCGTGGGCAGTTGAAGAGCTCCGTGCATCAGATAATTTACGACCGTCCCTAAAAAGAGGGGAGACAGTAGATGCAGCTATTGTACTGGACGTGCCACCCAAGCTCCCACCAAAACAAAGAAAGCACAGACTTGACAATTTTACAGCCAGTTCAGAAAATCTAGGTAAGTTAGAGGGACCAATAGATATTAAGTTACAAGAAGTTAAATTAAGGAAGTCTATGGCTTCATCTGCAACACCTGGGAATAGTTTAAGTAAAAACTCGGAGAAAGGTCATTCCCGGCATGCCTCTGATCCACTAATATTATCAGAAAATGAGAAGAGTTCTCTTGGTCGTCAGGATGCCCAGGACTTGAAAGATCCTCCAGTTGCATTGCCAAGGAAAATTTTGCCTCCTCCGGTCACACCAATTGAGAATAAACAGGAGGATAATGAAGGCACTAGTGGGAATAAAGTGGGAATGTCAACATCTGCAAGTACAGGTATAAGTGACTCACTGCCTAGAGATGCAAATGGCAATCAGGTGCAGAAAAGCTCAAGTCATAGTAGTCTGAATAATAGTTCTGTTATTAAAGATGGAGGAATTCTGAAAAGGGGAGGTAGTTTGTCACAGGGAAGCCATGGACAAAAATTTTGTGTTAGTCCAGAATCAGTTCATAAAGTTCCTGGTACTCCAGATTCTTTAAGAAAAGCAGGTGGTACTCCAACCTCTACCAGGAAGGATTATGGTACTCCCGAGTCTTTGAGGAAGGCTCATGGGTCTTCCGGTAAGGTGTCAGGACTCAGGGAGACATGGAGAAGCTTCAAGCAAAAAGGTGAAAAACGAGAAAGTAAAAAAGAAGAAGAAAAGGTGAATGAAGAAGGTGGTAGAATGTCAGCAAGAGAGACGCCAACACCAGACTCTTCACGGAGTGGGAAAATAATTCAGGTGTGTATCATTTTGACAAGTATTTGCCAAAATGGGTGCATGAATATGCATTGTAAAATTACATAACCCAGCTCTACTTGGTTACAAGTCACAAATGCTTCTGCTGTTTTTATTGTGTAATTTATATGCAGTACACTATAAGATTATACTAGGTGAGCTTATGTGTGGAGAAAATTTGATTCCCCTTATTTACATAAGGCAGCAACACAATATTTTTTTCTAAATATAATGCCTGATACAGTTGACTTATATAAGACCAGCCACAGTCTTTAAATTGAAAATCCAGGTCCTCTGATCTTGATGGTTGGAACTGTATATAGTAAGTAGTTTAAATCCATCAAGTTAGAACTAATATATACGTAGATCTTAAAAATAGAGACAATGGTTGCTTTTGAAGGATGAAGAGTCATACTGTTACACAACCTGTGTACAGTATTTGACAACCTTTAGTTTGCTCTTCAACAAACTTTATCACCCTTCCATCCAACCACTAACTAGTAAGCATTAATCTTTATACTAGATGTACTCTGTACTCTACTCTTATTGCATTGCCATAATATTTTTTGTCTGGCTAGTGACCTATTTTGAGATTAGCTGGTGTGATGGTATGTGAATGCACGTACAATATCTGCAATCCAGCTTTTTTAATATGTAAGTTTACCAAACCAAGCATTAATTACAAGTAAGGGATTGATCATCAAGTCCCATTTCATATGATAATTGAACTTGGATCAAACTCCTCATCTTTTTGCATTTAGGGGGAGCCTACCCCTCTATTTGCGAGAGTTGTAAATGTTTTAGGGGTCAGTGCTAAGTTTTAAGTACTGTGCTTACTATGGAGAAGGTACAGGTATGTAAGTGAAATATTTTGCAAACATTAAATGTGCGTGCAATTGTTTCCAAGTACTATTCCAGTAAATAGTAAGAAAGATTTGCAGCTGAGCAGTTTTCATACTTAAACATGATCCCTAACCTGATACGTGACCATTGTTACCTGCAATATGAGTTTACACGGATAACTTTGTGTGTATCATTCTTTTGTTAATGCGAGAGAATGTATGCAAATGAAGGTAATTAAATAAGTAGATAACAAATGTATGTACTGTACAATATACTGAAAACAAAAAATTTCAGACTCCCCCTTCACCACAAACCAGTCCCCAGAGAATAGTATTTGACGATTGGGGTGAATATATTGATGAGGCTACTAGAAGACCCTACTATTACAATACACGAACCCATGAAAAGCGATGGAAACCCCCACGAAAAGGAATTCACTCTGTTGCCATTCCTGAGGTGAGTATTATGTGTAAAAACCTAAGTTTCCAGTAATAATGGAAGTAAGTAACAGTTGTATGCAGTACCCAGTTGAAAAGTATTAGATTGCTGATGAGGCAGATTTTATGATAGAACTTGTATCATATTTGTTATGTGTGAAGCCTAAAGGTCAGGAAAGAGAGAGAGAGAGACTCTTCTCCAGTTTCTTATACTACCTATATCAAATACCATGAAAGTGGATTTCATTCTTTATAGTGAGGAATGTTGTGTCCTATTTGATAGTTGAAGATTAAAAATGAAGTGATTGTTTTAATTATTATTATAGAAGATAAAAAAAAATTCCCTCTATTTTTAATTATATTCTAAGAAGTAAGATGCTACTTTAATATTGAAGTAGAATCTTGGTCACATGAAAGTAAACATTGTGAACATAGGTGATCCATCTAGGAAAATATGTGGTTGGTTGTGCTTCTCATGCCTTGGAGGGGGCATGGAAGTCTTGAGGGACCCATATATTTGTACGGTATGCAAGATCCATGCATTTTTTTTGGATTTTTTGGTGAGTGTAGGCTTTGAATTTAGTATTTTCTGGGTTTGGTGAAGATAGCAAGTTAAAATAATTGTTTTTAGGATTTTGGTGGAATTGAATTTTACATACCGGGTACAGTAATTATTTGGGGACAAAATATAGCCCCTTAATTCTCATAAGACCTCTCTTCCCCTTGATAATCATTTGGTTTGTAACTGGAGCTGACTCATGGTACTGCACTTACTTTGTTTACATTACAGATTCCATATATACTGTATCTATGTCTTTATAAGATAAAAAATTATTATGTTTAATTGAGTACAGTATAGTAACTCCAAAGTTCATTACTCATTGGGTAATGGAAAAATTTTTCTAAGAAAATCATACATGGCTTAGTGCTTAGCTGAAACTAACTCTTAACACTGCATTAAAAATTTCTGATCATTGTCTTTATATATATCTGATGTTTTTTTTTTTTTTTTTTTACTAACAGTACTTAGGTAAAAAAATTATTTTAGAAAAAATTTGAAAACTGTATCATGGTTACAAATGGAAATTAGCACTCATTATTCAGAGGGCAAAAATTACTGAGATAGGATTGGCTGAAGGAAGTTTAATCTTGCATTGTTGAAAAAAATGAGCTCTGTTAACTTATATACAGTGGTCCCTCGGTTAACGAACACAATTCGTTCCAGAAGGTCGTTTGTTAACTGAAAATTTCGTTAACCGAAACCATTGTTTCAATGGAATTTTGGGTAATTGGTTCCAGCTCACCGAAAATTACATACAAAGTCAAAATAAATGCAGTAAAGTACACTTACTTTGAGGTGTGTATGTAGAAGGCTCCTGGTTGATGATGATGATGGGAATTAGAATGGGGGTGGAGGAGAAGGGAGAAGAGAAGGAAATGGGGGTGGAAGAGAAACCACCCCATGCTTCATGCCGTCATTTCACCCATAAAATTTTAAGTTCACTGGGTGTAATTCAAGATTATTTTCTTTAAATCAACGCTGCACTATATATTGTCAATATGTAAAATAAATTTCAGAATGACCAATAATTGTACTGTAAAAACGTAAAAATAGTTTATGTTCAAGAGAGTCACAAGCAAGATGTTACCTCCACTGACCAGAGATACAAACTGATACCTTGATGGGTGAATCAAGTGGCTGATTGGCACACCAAAAACTAGTTTCCTGTACTGCAATTATGTTAAATATGTGTTAAAATGACTAAAAAATTTAATATAAAACTTGGAAGATTGTTGAATAGTACAACCTTCTTGATATTTACTCAAATGGGAACGAATTTAAGCCCTAGAACCGATTACTGTATTGGCGGACTAATATTCCAGCTGGTGAGCAAGCGAAAACATGTTGACATGATTTCGTAAAAATTTCGTTAACTGAATTTTTGTTCGTTAACCAAATTTAATATTCTTATGGAACGTAATTCGTTAACCGAGGCGTTCATTAACCGAGGGATCACTGTACGTAACACTCATTTATTTTCTGTGATATGTTTCCAATTTTTCAATTTTCTGCAGGTTCCGCCATATGCTAAACATGAGGAATTGAAAGTTACCTCAAGTCGTGGGCCACCGAGGAGTCCTGCACCTGACTATCCCAATTCCCCAAAGTCCTCCCACAAACCCTTCTCTTATGCTAATATGCCTGAAGGAACATTTTCTTCATCATTAAACAGAGCTGCTACTCTTAATCCAGCATCAACTATCTCCCAGCATCATCCTGTGGCATCTTCTCTGACTTTGCCTGCTTATGGTGTCTCCCCAAACAAGACCATACCTTCACACCACTCTATTCATTATCCCCTAGTTTCTTCTCTGAACCTTGTCACTCCCCCACTTGTTCCACCCAGCAGTGCTAAGCCCCAGTTTCCTGCCACCCCAACAACTCCAAACTCAACCGAATTTCCAGAACTCAGTGAGGCAGATCAAAATTCTGCTTTGCTTGATATCTTGTATGATATGAATCCTCCAAAAGGCTGGTGCAAAAAGATTGATGCGCTTACACAAAGAGTTTACTTCTACAACGTAGCTACAGGTCAGCGGGTAAGTGTCCAAGTCATTTTTGTAGTTGTTATTATACACTGAACTTTTTTGCATTGCTTGTGTGCACTACAGTACTGTAAATGTTTTTTTTTGGTTTTTGGAAATAAGACATATTTAAGAATCAATAATTTAGAGAAAGGAAATCTCATAAGCCACATAGGAATTGCATGTTCTGTACTCTAGTGTTGTAAGGCGTGTAAATGATCTTCAACCCTGTCTGGTAAAATGGGTGTCTAGTTACGATTACCAATGAAAATATTTGCTTACAGAAGGCACTAGAAAAAAAACAAAAAACAGGTGAGATTGGTAGAGGTATTTAACAATAAATTTTTCATATATAAATTATTTTGACAGCTTAATATGACATGTATTTTATGATGGATAAATACTTATACCTGTATTTGGTTGAAAAAGATGACAGTATGATTTCAGAGGCAGATCCAGGGGAGGGGGGGGGTTCTGGGGTTCTGGACCCCTCCTTTTCATCAGAAAATTCAAATACCTTTTCTTTAATGCAGTTTTGTACTCAGGCATTTTTGTATAGCAAACAGTAATTATGATTGATCTCAGAATATCCCCTAATATTAAGTGCACATGGCCTCAAAATGGCCTTTGCACAGGAAACTTTTGACATTAAAGGTACCTGTATTCAATTACTTTTTTCAAGAAAATGTAATCCTAGACATTGTCCAGGTTTCCAATACAGATCTCTTTACTCACCATTAATTTGCTCTGATCATATCCACACCTCTCTTACACAAAATTCCAACACAGAGTCTCGCCATTTGAACATGGGTGCTTGGGCCCGGGTAGGTGACGCTAAGTTTCAGCCAATTGGCTAGCTGTGCCTCTGGTGTTGCACTCACTGGTCACTGTGATTGGCTGGAAAGGCTATGGTGAAAAACTGAATTTATGAATAATTCTCAAAAACATGACATTATTTACTCTAAAAACATGTATACACTGTAAATTCTGTATTTTCATTTATAATTAAGAAAAATGATACAGATCATGGTGAAAAATATGGAATACTTTTATTTGGATAGAATTACGCTATTATTTACAAACAAAATGAAGTGTTTTGGTAATCAGCTGACTTGAATTAATGACACAAAAGGCTTCACCTGTAATTGAGAATACTGTACAGCACTCATTAGTAAGGTACAATTCTTCACTGAAGGAGAGCTATTGTAATAATTATGTTATAAAAAAATTGCTTTTATATCCTACAATAAAAAAGAATATACATTGTAAACTAATGTTTGGTGAATGAATGTCTCTGAATGTTTTGTTGAAAGCTCTGCTGCCTGCCTTGTTTGAGTTGCCAACGAGGCCAAAGTGTTGCCACATAACTATTTCTTACATTATATCTTGGTTACTAAATTTAAGAATTTTTTTCCCTATATGGATATCGATGAGAAAATGATAAACAGAAGGTACAGGTGCATCTTAAAACTGGATTCATTAGAAAGCATATAAAAGAATAATAATAAAAAGAATTACTCACCAGATTAATAGATGTTGTGTTAGGTGTATAGCAGTGATGAGATGCAGAGTGGGAGGGCGGAAGAGGGGTCGCTGTTATTCAGAATTGCTCTCTAATACTGTATCTGCAATGGCCAGTTCCAGTGTCACTCTGCTGACATCTGAAACACATCTGAGGTTGAATGATGACAATGATTGATTGTGGTAATTATATCCTTGGTAAAGCAGCAGCTAAAAAGACTAAAATCAAATAATGCAAGGTAAAAACCATAAATAATAAATATCTTAGAGCTTTTCTAAAATTCATTGATACATTAGTAGATAAAAATGTAGAAGGCCAGTTTCCTCCACAAAGGAGAGGACGTCCCCTCTGACGCTCTTTCCCCGAATGGGAGAGGTGTTTACGACCAAGATCTCTGAAATTGGAGCGCTCCCACCAGGAGGTGTCAAACAGTCACTGGAAACTGGCAATTATCACAATTGGGAGGGGGTGCCCTCTCCATTAAGAACCATGAGTCAGCCTTGTGTGGCAAATGTGGAGGCACCTAATTCAGGGTGAATGTTGCAGAGCTTGTTTTGCTCCAACAGTATCCCACCTACATTGCCAACTCGACCGGATGGCAGCTCTTATTACTGGCTTTATATCAGAGGCAGGTAGAGGGGAATGATTTGCCACAAGGTGAGAAGCAGCTACTTTTGCCATAGCATGGGAAAGCTCATTTCCATTTTTCCCCACTTAGGCTGGAACCCAGCAAATACTGACTTTCTGATTCTCAGTCAAAATGTAATGGGAGGGTGTGTGTCCGTTTGAGATGTGATGCGTAGTTTAGACTAGAAAGACTTTCCCCGGCACCCAGAAACATTCCAGGGGTGTGGTATACCATATGTCTGTGTGAAGTGTGATGTTTAGACTCTCGGAAAACTTTTTCCAGTACATTACCCGGAAAAATTCCCGAGATGTGGAATTTTTTCCGGGTTTGAGAGAGTTATCTCATTACCTGGAAATCTCTTATACCCGGAAGAGCTCTGCACCAATTATTCCAGCTACCAGGAATATCACTGCAGTGCATGTATTATGACAGCTTATAAAAAAAATTTAGGGCATTAAAAACGAATTATTTTGTTAGCACTATGACAAGCAATGTAAACAGCACAACTGTTGCCTGGAGACTGAGTGACTGATGAGTGTGTGGAGAGTCTAGACAATCACTGAGCTGTGTAGATTCTGTCCAGATTAAATGAAATCCAGATAAATGAGGCCCAAATTATCAAGGGTCTACTGTAACTATACTTTTATGTATAGCGTTCATTATACAGGTACTGTTAATAATAGTCATTACAATGTATTTTTATGCTCTCCTAACATTATAATTGTGTTACATTTGAATATCATATACTGTACTGTACTGTACAATGCACTGATGGTGTAGATGACCATGAAAGTCAGGACCTATCCCGAGGCTTTTGGATAGGTGAAGTAAAATTTTATTGAATATTTTGTTTTTCCTAGTTTACTTGTACAGTATATCCTGTAAATTGATTAACCACTTGGGTATGGGATCCCCTCTGTGTTGAATAAAATTGTCTGGTGTTAGCCCCCCTTCCCACCACAAAAAAAATATATATGTACTGTACTGTACTGTATATATATATATATTAAAAGTGGCATACTAGTAGTAAAATGATGGATTTTGTTTTTTCGAACTCAGTCAAATAACAGAATCTGACTTGGCCCATTTAATCACAATGTCACATGTGTCATTTCTATCTTTATATTCTTCATCCTCATCAATCCCTTCAATATCCAAACATATGCCACCATACATGTTTTCACTCTCTTCATCATCCTTGTTGTAAGAAAGTTGAATTTAGAATAGGCAGAGTTAGTGAATGAGTTTTATGAATGTTGTGAAAGCCCATGATATGTATCAGTGAATTTATCTAGCACTGTGTAAGTGGTATTTTATGCTAATGTTGTTGCCAGTCATTTTTTCTGGCAGCAGCACTTGAGGGTATAAAATCTGTATTTCCACTAGTATTTCTTTTCATTTTTATTCTTGTTTTATCTTGTACTGGAACCTTGTTGTGTACCATGGCAGCTCCTTGGATGGTGAGTACAAACTATACTCTCTTATTTTATATATTTATATCCATATCTAATCTTGTATTAATGTTTAATTTGGAAACTAAGGGTCAGTGGTACTTTTGTGGATATGATGATGCGTGTTTATGATCTTTGGATCCAAACAAAAGTACAGTATTAGTATATATTAGGTTTGTAGTCCAAAGGTTCATTTCACTCATGTAAGCATTCTTTAATTCACATCATCATCATCATTATTTATTACCTGATAGCAGCTTTCCATACTTTACAATCTCTTGATACTTTTGTCAGGTTCATATCTCTTAGGCCATTTGTTACAATCTCTCCCCATGTCATTCTTGTTCTGCCCCTACCTCATCTCCCTTGCACATTCAAGCTCATGCATCTCTTGACCCACTTGATCTTCTTCATCCTTTCCATGTGCCCAAACTATTACAGGCTACCTCTATGCAAAACCTTGGCGATATTCTCAATAACCAACCACCCTCATAGTTCTGAACAGGGTTTCCTATTTTTCTTTGTCACATTGCACGTCCATCTCTCCACTCTCATTTCTGCTCGCTTAAAATTCTAAAGTTCTCCACACTGTAGGACCCAACAGTATGCAAACTAGAGATTTTACTGTAAATATTTTTAAATGTCTTATATGTACACTTGTATTAGTGTTAATTACAAATGCAGCACGCCCTCGATTATTTGCGGATTACAACCTGGAAGTACCCAAGAATGTCTGTGGGTAGTTTTACAGTTGCCGGCATTTTCGTGACCGGGACGGAGCGTGCCGGTTTTGTGGCGTCCCGCAAGGTGTCTCTCTTGTCCCGGGAGGCTGGCCCACTCATGTTTGCTCCGCCTCAGTCCAGGATAAACACTTGTCTGCTTGCGTGTGTGCTACTCTGCTCTCTTAATAACTGTGTTCCTCATGCTTGTGATGGCTCCCAAATGCCCTCAACCACCTTCATCCAGCCGTGGGAAAGCGCCCAAACAAGTGAAGAGAGAAAAGAAGGTCATGACCCTCATGGAGAAAATACAACTGCTGGACAAACTTAGGAGTGGCCAAAGCTTTGCCGCATGTGGCCGGGAGTATGGCATCAATGAATCAACTGTCCACTACATCAAAAAGAAAGAGAGGGAGATTCGTAATGCCGTTAACCCAAGTGCCCCCTCTTCTGCCAAGGTAGCCACTAATGTGAGGGATACAGCTATGGTGAAGATGGAGAAAGCCCTTAACATCTGGATTAAGGGATTTAACCTCCACCACATCCCTCTCAGCCAGAAGTTTATTCAGACAAAGCCAAGGTCCTGTATGACTGATTCCATGCTGGTGAAGGTGGTGCTAGTGCTGGTGATTCTGGTGATACCCCCAAAGAAAAGATTTAATGCCAGTATGGGGTGGTTGAGAACTTCAAGCACT